TCCGTATGTTTCAGATTCACCTACAATGAAGTCACCAAACAGAGAGCAGAGAAAGTAACAAAGTCTTTACAAAGTCTTGGTAGAGTGTGTTTTTCCCCCGTTTAGACATAGGAAGTGAGGTATGTGAGCCCCAATACTGCTGTGCGAAGGCTGCTGATTAAACCTAGTCCCTAGGAGGTTTCGAGGAATTTTACTTTTTCAAGATGTTAGTCTCTTCATGTAGTTCTGCCTTGCAGTGGACCTTGCGAACAATGTCTCGGGTGCTGCTTTTGGAAGACGATGGAACTGACCGCCTCTGCTGACTCCCTCTTGGGGCTCTCCCCTTGTGCTCTAATCAAGCTCCCCATCAACTGACCAGCGTTTCCCAAGGTCTCTCTGTTCTAATTCCCACAGCCATTGTCACAGCATGTGATATAGTCAAAGGCTGGCATATGCCCTGTGAGCCACTCACACGCCTACTGGACATTCCCATGGTCAAGAGGAGCCCTGGCAGATGGAAGCCCATGGCCTAAGCCAATGCTGAGGCTGCCCACAGATCTGTCCTTGGGGTGAGCAGAACCCCTGCAGTGGTCTGATCTACTTCTCTAATTAAGATAGGTTGTGCAGAGCCATCCTCGGACTGCAGCAAATTGAAGTATTTGGTTGGACACTTTGTGAACTGCCAACATTTGGGCAGTTACTGGGGGGAAAAGGGAAGAAGAACGTTCTATTGGCTGGTTTTAGAAGGACCTGGGAATCATATACATAACTTCAAGTGAATTTGTCAGCCCCACCAACGTAAGAAGTCATACCACCCTTCCTTCTTTACACATAGTCTAAGATGTTCAATCTTTCCTGGTTCTTGAAAACGTCCCTTAATGATCACTTGTTCAGCAAGCAGTGATTGCCTTTGTCAGACCCTAAGCAAGGTACTGGGATAGAAAAAGAAATGAGCACAGTCCATGGCCTCAAGGAACTCATAGCCCAGGGGAGCCAGACAGACACATAATAAGCAAATACTGGGAAGTACCAAGGAGTGGTGTGGTCCAGGGTTGAGTATCAACAGTGAAGATCAAGAGACTTAAGTTCAAGTTCCAACTCTGCAACTTACTAAGTGTGGAGTCTTGATTAAGTCATGGAACCTCTCAGGCTCAGTGGCTTCATCTAGTAGGGAGGGAGGATTAAGTAAACCCCATATACAGAGCCTGTTCTGCATGTGTAATCGCTCTTCTTAGTCTACCCCATTACAGGGACTGTACAGAAGTGTACGTGAGGCCCCCAGGAACACAGGGGAGGTAACAAAAGAATCCGGAATACTGAATTTGGGGGAAAGAATGACCTCTGAGGACCTGACTGCATTGCTAGGTGAAGATTGCTGGGAAGACTATCCACCCAATATGTTGGGGTGCCTTTTCTCCTGAATTAAACTTAAATACTCGGGCATAATGTGATGGAGATTGTACACACGCCCGGCACCGAGACCGCCTCGCTATGCCAATAGCTCTCAGGGCTCGCAGGACCTAGAATTTCTATGTGTCCTGAATATTCAGCATTTCTAATTGCCTCTTCCTCCTGTTCTTTCTTGTCCAGATTGTGAACTTGAGCAGCCTTTGCTCTGGTCTGCGCACTGACACCAGGGCTGTTCTAGAATGTGAGCTTGATAATGCCCCTTCCTCATGTGAAATCCTCTAGGGATGTCCCATCTTTCAGGATAAAATCCACACACTTCAGCATGGCCCATTCGGCTCTGGCTCTTCTTGACGTAGCCTCTGCCTCCCTCGCAGACTTAACCACTTAACGTTCCCATACATGTTACTTTTAAAACTACCACCAGACCGGGCACCCCCATGTTCTGTGGTCCCTCTCTCTTCTGTAGTTTTGTACATGCACTTCTTTGCTGGAAATATTCTGCCTTCACTCTCTTTTCTAATTTTGAAAAAACTCTTAAGATTCAGCTCGGATGTCACCTTCTGGCTTCCTTTCCCAACCCATCCACTCTGGCTTAGCTGCCCCTCTTCCGAGTCCTCGTTACACCCGCACAGGTTCTGCTGTGACGTCTGTTTCCCTATCAGCCTCTCTGCAGTGTAGGTTCCTTGGACTTGTAAGTCATTTGTCTCCCCACCTGGCTCAGTCCTGACTCACGCAATGTTTGTGAATGAATTACAGAACCTTAGAGAGAATCTCAGCTATTCTCCTTGTAGGTGTGTGAATGTCCTCTGCAAAGATTTAACTAGGTTTCCAAGGAAAAGGCTACTTCAAATGCCAGCCTCTTGTGTGGAGGGGGCTAAGTGGAGGACCATCTGGCGCAGAGACAAAGAGTGAGCCCTGTTCCTGGGAGAAGAGCCACTGGTTCTTCTAGATGATCAAAGTCTATCACGGAAAGGCCCCTGTTTCCTGGCAAAAGGGTCTAACCGCAGCTGGTCTGTTTCTGAGTGGTCGTTGGAGAGAGGGCATGGAAGAGGGAAGGAGGCATGTGCTGGAGCAGCTCCACATGATCCCGGAGCAGGCTTTAACTCCATAGCCCAGTTCTGGCACCCATGGCAGCTGTCCTGGGGCCTGAGTCTGCCATCTTGCTACCTTAAGGGTGGAGGCTTTAGGCGAGACAAAGGTGGTGAGACTGCATGGTAGCCAGAAATGCCCATGTCTCAGGGATCACACCTCTCCTCCACCCCCACTTTCACTTCAGACTGATGAAGACCCTGGAGGGTCTTAGATAATTGTTTGGAAGGGTCCTAAGTAAGGAGATTCTGGACCACCTGCCAGGTGTGTGCTTGAATGACGATGGAAGACATAAAAGTTTATGGAGTGTTCATGCTGCTTGCACAGCGATGAGGAACCCAGGAGCCCACTGGGAGCTTCTTGCATTTCGATGTACTGATAGGTAATCTTTCCCCCCTTAAATAGATGTTCACTGACTCCCAGTACTGTCGCTGGTAAAGAGCTCCAGGTGAGGTTTGACTGAACGGGATGCGGCTTTTTGGTGTCAGAGAAAGGGCCATAACTATTTTGTTTTGTTTTGCGTTAACTTTGCAGTCATGGGAAAACTAGAGTCCAGAAGTGGGAGCTTTCACAGATGTGGAATTAACTAGGCTCTGAACCAGAGCGGCTACCACGTCCTGCCCAGTCTGACCCCACCCACATCCTGGCCTCCATCGTCTTTATGTCCCATTCCATCTGACTCCACGATGCCACCTCCGAGACGTGGGTGTGGGCTCGTCTGAGCCCTCCTGCACCCGGGCCAAGGCAGTGACACCCTAATCATCACCCTGTGATTCTGTGGCAGATACAGAGAATTTCAAACAGGAAGAGTTTAATATAAAAAATTGGTAACACAAATGATGGAAGAGCCAGGAGGCTGCAGGGGTTAGTAGTGAAGTAACCAGGGATTAACAACATGGCAGAAGCCATGGCTCCCTCAGGCTGCAGGGCCAGGGGAGGAGGCAGCACGACTGGGGCCTGGAGCCCGCCTCCCCTGACCGCGACGGGAGCCCCAGAGAGGTGGCTACTGGGAAAGAGAGTGAATTGCCTGCTTTTCTCCCATCTTCTCACCTTCTCCTTTGCCCTTAGTGACCTCTCGTTAAACTCAGCCAGACATCAGCTGACAGGGGAGCCTGAGAAACCCAACTTGCCAGTCAGAGAACAACAGGGGAGGACAAGAACGTGTCTGAAGGCGAACAGGACAAACACAGGCACAGTGACCTTGCCTCCTCCTGCTTCTTCTTGATGATCATGATCTTTCTTCCTCATGATCTCAAAACATCTTTCTTTAACCATCTTTTCCTTCCTCTGTCTAATCTTCAAGAAAGAGGTGTCTTTGGCTTTTCTGAGAGCTCAAACTGGTATGAAATGTAACTGAAATACCTGCAAAGCCCAGAATGCACAGGGCAGACCCTCCCAATTCCTGAAATCATGCTGCGTGAGATGGGGAAACTACTTGCAGAAGCCGTCTTAGAAAAATGCCTCCTGCTGTGAAGAAGGTGCCCATACCTTTCTTGATTTTTATAAGCCATAATAACAAACTTGCATATTAGCTAAATGTGGTCAAGCTATTTCTATTAGACAAGCCGTAAATGTGCACTTGTTAAAATTCAAATCAAGAATGATGCTTCGCCCTGAGTACTTCCTCACAGCTGTCTCCCTTTTATAGATGAGGAAACTGAGGCCCATGATATCAAAGCGTGGAACTGTTGTCTGTTTTGGAGTGAGGAGTTGTCAAGGGCATGGAAATAACCTCACCAGTGAACTGTCTCCTGCCAGCCTTCCACTGAGCGACTGTTTGACTTGGGAGGACTCAGCTGGAAGGACATTGGGTACTTCTTCAGAATCAGGCAGGAGAGTGCTCCAGCACCAGCCACTCTAACCCTGAAAAGCAGAGTGCAGTCCTGGCCAGGTAGATCAGTTGGTTGGAGCATTGTCCCAATATGCCACAGCTGCGGGTTTGATTGATCCCTGGTCAGGTCACATACAAGACTCAACCAGTGAATGCATAAATAAATGGAAAAAACACATAGATGTTTCTCTCTTTCTCTCTCCACCCCCCCATCTCTTTGAAAATCAATATTTTTTTTAAATTAAAAAAGAAAAGGCAGAGTACAGCTGACCAACCTACTTGGTGCTCACAGAGAGAAACTTTGAAACCTGTTTCACAGATTGTATGATCTGCTGCCCGAGGATCTTAGAGACTTCAGATTGGCCTCCAGGCCTGTGTCTGGCACACAACAAACACCCATTATTTACTTAATAAACAAAATAACTCAAAGTCAGAAAACCTTAGTCACTAGGTACTGACTGTGCCACTTTCAGCTTTCTGTGGAAGCTCTCTGAGTCTCAGTCCTACCATCTGTAAAATGGGGATAACATTATAGTCCCATTTACTTCACAGTATTATTGTTAAGATCAGATAAGCTCGTATGTATGAGTTTGTTCTAGAAAGCAAAGACATGGTTTTAAAATGCTCTAAATATTAAAAGAAAACTCCCTATGCCAATGCTCACAAACACATTTATTAAGATGCAGCGAAGTGAAATGTGTCAAATTCTCTTTATTGGTGTATAACAATGCCCAAGGGCTGGGTGACTGACATCATCAAAAATAAACACCACCTTTTGACAGACCTGGCCCAAACAATGCAGCCCAAATTGCAAGAAACCTGAGGACATTTCATTCACAGTCTTGCTTTTCACTGTTACTGACATAAGTGCTTTAATTTTAATGCTCATTTCAGATCTTCATTTAAAAAAAATAAAAGCTCATATTCTAATTTAGCAGAAAGCAGAGTTATCCATGTGAAGGACAATGCAATATCAAAGTAAGACTGCTTTTCTTCCACACTTGTCTAAATTAGAAACATTTTGCCATTCACGGGGGCTCTAACACATGCACACATGCACATAAGCAATACCGAGGACTAATGGCTGAGTGGGTGCCCACCTAGCATATTCACTTTACTCTGGGTCCTTATCCTCTTCTGAAAAATGGGGGACCGACTTCTTTGCGACAACGTTGTCCAATCTCTGTCCTTGTAGATACGGGTTGACACTCTGAAACAGTATATATGGTTTGGTGTTATACCTGAACATCAGATACAGACATCTCACAGAACAGGTAGATGAGAATCATTTCTGGCCTATTGGATTAACTATAAGGTAACAACAGCAACTATCACCTAGCAAAAGATTACTCCAGTGAACTATCCAACACCTCAGTGGGACATTGTCTGACTGATGTGTCTAACTGTGTCCTTCACACATCTGTAAAGTTCTTCCTGGGCGCAATCTGCCCCCCTCCTTGTTTTGGCACAGAAATTTGGAGTGAACCAGCTAATACACCCTCACTATTAACTAAATGCACAAGACCCATATGAAAGAGAATTACTATTCTATGGCCTTATTTAGGTGGGAGAGAGAATCTGAAATGCATTAAATTATCTTACAAAAAGAAGTTTCTAAAGATGACAGAGCAGGCCAAGGTGAAATTATATTTGCAGACTGGCCATAGATCATCCTATTATGTTGATTCCTCACGCCAGTATTTTCCTAAAGAGGATTTTCCTCAAGAGGAGTCATTTCCACTGTCTCTCAGTCCAACTGAAAAGCTGAAAAAAAAAGGTTATACAGAAACCTCCACTATGTTTGATTCAAGATTCCACAGTCTGAAATTTCTTTTATCTGTTGGTATGCTGAATGAGTCAAGGTTTTTCCATTCCTTCTCTAATATGTACCTATTCTTTGAGGTTTGGATTTGAACCTCAAAGTAATCGCCTTTAGCAAGCAGAAAAAAATTTAAAGTTGTGAAATATTAGTTTATTGAAGTCACTTTCCAATAGCTGAACAAAAATATAAGAAAGAAGCTGTAGCTGCAAATGATCGGCAATTCTGTTGGATACGAAGTCCCCAGGAATGAACAGACGCAGTTCACAAGTGGGTCTCTCTTCCCCATGGGACATGGTCTGCTGTGACTCTTTTGAAGGGTGAGCAGACATTCTCCAAAGAGAAACAATGGAACCTGAATTTAGTATTTGTAAATGTCTTTCCACATTTTGATGGGTAATGAATTGTGCAAGTCCCAACTCACCCTGCAAAAATGCACCACGAACCAGCTGAGAATTACAAAATATGCAATGTCCTTATAGATCTGAAAAACGACATGTCACAAAAGACAATACTTTGCTGGGAAAGCGTCTTTAAAATATTTAAAACTACTCACATAATTTCTAAACCAGGCAGATTGTCAACTAGACTGGCCTGGCCGACGATAGGGAATTGTATTAGAATCTTTGGGTAAGTGGAATGAGTGTGAACTGAAAAAGTATGTTAAATATCATACATATTTTGAGTGATTTCTAGTAAAAATATTTATTCTCAAAATTCTAGTACATTAAAAAAGGATATTAGGTGTTTGCAATGATCAACAATGGAATAAAAGTTTGATTAGCTCTTTAAATAAGATAAATAGTAGATCTCAAATATTAACAAGATACATCTTAAGAGTTAAAACTTTTGCAAAGTCATTTACAGGTGAATTAGCCTTTGACTCATGAAGCAAGGAGGAATTCAATTGCAACCAAGCAAGTATAGAAAGTTACATAAAACCACCAAGGGCTCAGTTATGACTTCAGGGAGAATCTCCTTGGTGAGGTACTTTTATGGGAGATAGACCTCCTGCCCAGATCTAGAACATGACAAAGATTGGAGGGAAGGGGAAGTAAATTAATGAGGAAGGAAAAAGAATGATCAGCTGAATTTTTTTGATGAACTATTAATATTGAATCTTAAGAGTAATAATAATAGTGATACTTGGTTTTAATTATCCTCTGAAGAACTTAAGGCCCTTACACATTTATCTCCTCCTTTGGGTGAGAGACTGGATAGGTTATAAAGTGAACATTATTCCCATTTCACAACTGGAAGAACCATTGGAATCAAATCTCTACTTTTCATGTCTTCTGGAAACCCACAGAAAATGCTGAGCTTCATTGGAGAAAGCCTTAATTAGTCCCAAAAGGAAGCCCATAATTTATATTGATTCATGCACTTGAGGTGGTAAAATCTTCAATCAAGAATAGGGACACCATCTGAGGTCTGATGACTAGGGAGGCAAATTCTGTTTCCCCAAGAGTCCCAAAAGGCTCATGGTTTATGGCATGAGCACGGGTCTTTGCAGATGCCTGAGAATAGAAAGAACTTGATATGTACAGGTCAAAGCAACCCTTATTTTCACAAATTCTAAGCCTTTCCTATGAGGAGGAAGTTGAGGCCAAAGTAAAACCTTTATAACATGTGTCCTAGCCAGAATTCTGATTTTTTGGTCTCATCACTGAACCTAAATCATAACCCACAGCCATTACTTAAGTCAAGGCAAGAAGGGGTGGTGAGCCAGGAAGTAGGGACAATCAAAGCTTCAGGCTAAGTCATTCATTTTGGGCCCATCATTGGTCTTATTTGGAAATGTCCTTGGTGTACCATGGAGAGATATTCAAGCCATTTTACTGGTAAATTATGTGTGTTCTGAGCTCTTAGAATAGAATTTCTTGATGTTCTCTCAAGACCACACAACACCCTTTGGACGCTTCCTGCCATCATCTGCCACCGGAAACTGTAATCACCCAAGAAAAACCCCTAACAACCCTGTTAACTCTCCCAAGAAGATCTGCTTTTCCAGACATCAAAATTGGCCATGGGATGTCTGCATTTTTGCCAGGTAGCACAAGGACTTGGCACTCTCTGTTGCAGGGGCCTGAGACTTAGGGCTGAGTTCAAGAACTCCACGTCTCCTAAAGCCCCCTCTGACCAAATTCAGTAAAACTCTCAGGACGGCCACAAAGACCACTGTCCAGAGTCCCAAATTTTGCCAGGATCCTGGTATTTGCTAATCTAAACAATCAGTCGGTGGCCTTGGGTGTACGGTTTGCTTTGTGTATTTTAACAAAAATGGTTACTTTCTGGCAGCACCGTGCTATGCCATAGCAGAATTTTAACTTTTTCTCCTGCTGATCAGAAAATGATGGCAGGTGGCCAGACTCTTCCATGTAGGAAGGCACCAGTGGGTTAACAGAGTGGACAACGATCACTGATTAAGTCCAGATGCCATCAAATGCACAAGAAACCCAAAGCAAATCTATCAGCTTTACACGAGGCAATGCCATAGTGGCTAAGTGTGGAGCATCCAGACCAAAGCCCCACCCTGGGCAGCCCTGGGATGGTTAGTAAATTGAGAGGTCAGCAAACCAATATAATTGATAGTCAATTTTTACATCAATCTGGCCAGGCAAAGAGAAAAGGTATGTAGGAAGAATGAGGTTTGTTCATCTCATCTTTTGTCCCCACATTCCTTCAGAATTCTTGCCTGGAGCATGTTTTGCATCACTTCCTTGTTCCTATCTTGTGCATTTATATAATAGATGCTGATGTGTGAGCAGTTTCCTCAGTGGCCTACAGACCCTCTGAGGGAAGACACACCCTCATGTACTCCCTGCATTTCCCACACCATATGGAGATGCAATACACTTGTCCTGTGCGTGTGCAATGGAGGTGATGGAATTACCACAAAGCTTGGAGTCGCCCTAAAGTGTACGTGTGAAAGCTGGAGAAAGTCATCCCAGAAACCCAGGGTGGACTCTCTGGGCATGGCCCTCATCACACAGGACCCCTGCTCAGCCCTCCCAGGCCTGCACGTGAAAGGATGCTGCTACATTCCAACAACCGAAGGTTATGGCTTGTCATCTGCCCCACTCAGGAAGCTCTGCGCATCCCCAGAACGACCCAGCCAGCTGCATATTACCCTCCGCTTTCGTCTCTGTCCTCCCTTCATCTTCTCATAAAGGAGTTTCTTGTTCTAGAGTGGGGAGAAAAGAAAACAAATGTAGAAATATGGATCAAATTTGGTGAACATCTATTTTAAAAGCAAGCCTTGGTGTGTCCCCTGGATATTTGCATACACATATTTTGGAAACAAAACTAGATGAAAGGAATGCCGTGTCAGAAAGACAGACCACAGGGGAGAAGCTGGTGGTTGCGCAGCTATGAATAAAGTTCTCTGCAATGCCCTGAGGCCTTCAGTGTCATAGACAATCATATAAACAGGGAAATACGACATGCAAAAACCCAAGAGGCATTGGAAACCCATCTCTTCACTTTGAATAGCCGTCGTTTAAAACAAACAATTTTATCTCACTTTACTTTCGTGTCTAACTCCCTTGTTATGAGCTGTACACATAAACTGTTCTCTAGAGTAGTGTCTGACTATTAATAACAATCTTCTAGGTAAATAAATGAAACACTGACTTCTGCAACCTTTCCTCCTGTGGCTGAAATCCATGTACCCAGTCAAGACAATCGGAAAACCATTTGGTCTATAACATTTTTAATAGACTGAACCTTTTAAAAATTGCCAAAAAAAAAAAAAAACCTTTTTGGCAGAAAGGAAAGTTATGTTGGGGGAAGAAAACGGGGTCTGTTACCACAGTTTGTATAAGTGTTTCCACATATTGCTGTATTTCAAACACGTAGGGGACTTAAATGAGCTCTAGAATATCAGACACATGCTCAACAGATTTCCCTCCTATTGGGATTACAAAAGACAGACACGTAACCTGGAGGCACAGTGAGAGAAGAGGAACTGGGGGGCTTTACTTGTGTTGTTTTCTTTTTTAATTTGAATTTTAATGAGAAGGGAAATAATGAATAAAAAAGGTGATGCATCTTACTCCAAATAAAATACCCTGACGCAGATTTAAAAAAAAAAAAAGAAAGAAAGAAAAGGAGATGACAGAGTTTTGGTAAGGAACAAGTTTATGCAGCACTTGTATCCTCTGAACTGTCTGGGTAGAAAGAATTTTTATGGTAGATTTGGAAATGAAAATGAGAAATGCCAAGAATGAGCTTCGTAATATTCGTGTCCATTAGACTCCATGTCACCCATGATTTACAATGAGTATGTCTTGCCCAACCTCAACTATGCAGGGAGCCAGCCAGGGAGGGGAGGAATCTCCGCTGTCAAAGGGCCACACTGGCCACAGTCTGTGTCTTGTGGTCACTCAGGGAACTGATCAATTTCATATCAAGTGAAGTCTTGCCATTTGCGACAATGTGGATGGACCTTGAGGTATTATGCTAAATAAAATAAGTCAGACAAAGAGAGACTAGTACCATACGATTTAACTCATATGTGGAATACGGAAAAAAACAACAGAACAAAAACAAACTTACAGAGGCAGACACCAGATGGGTGGCAACCAGGGGACAAGGGGAATGGAGAGAGGGCAAATGGGTAAAGGGGGTCAGGAGGTCAGTTGTAAGGTGATGGATGGAAATGAGACTTTTGGTGGTGAACACACTATATATAGTGTATGCAGTATCAAACTATAATGTTATACACCTGAAACATATAATGTTATAAGCCAATGTTACCTCAATTTAAAAATATATTTGTGCGTGTATACATATAGGTATATATATGCATATTTATACAGGGAGAAAGGCGAACCTGCAGATCTTCACTTGAGGAATGATGATGTCTCTGTGAGGCTCATTCATGTTGTCTATACTTGCCTTTCTGGGATGTAACAATTCCTGATGGACAGAGAATGTCCTGGGAGTTCATGCCCGAGCTGGGGAAACTGGGGTGAGGACAGAGCTTTTTCATGTGCATCTCCATGTTCAGCTGCGTGCACAGGAGGGAGTGAGTGCACAGGCACCTGAGAGCTGGCACCATCACGTGGGACAGACAACCAGCCATGGCAGAGCTCCGCCTTGCCACCAGCTGGGTAGAGGTGGCATCATTTTAGTCACTCTCCTTTAGAAGGGGGCGGGCCAGATTATGCCCATAAGAAGTTTCATTCCAAAGGACGTGCAAAAGGTCTGGCAAGTCTTCCTCTCAAGGGTGGCCCCGGTGTTTCCCGAAGGGCCAGGGTTAGGATTAGCAGGACGATGCTGTCTCACCTCTGCAAGAAAGTGGCTGGGGCATATCAGTTAGCCCTGCTTTGAATGGATTTAAAGGCAGGGACTGGCAGGTATAGTGTGGGTAGAGGAAGGCTGAGAAGAAACCAGCCCCTTCTCCTCACACCCATTCCGTGCCGACGGGGTGGGGAGGGGCGACTGGTGAGCCTGCTTCCCATGTGAGTAGCAGGTTCGAGTTCATAAGGAGGGCTTTCCACTGTGCCATCAAGATTTTGGACAAGCGCCCAGATGTTGGTTTCAAATTCCACTCCTAAATGGAACCAGGGAGGCTTCTTGCAGAAATGTCTGCTTCCAGGACTAGGGAAAGGAAAGCACAAGGATGAATGAATTTGGAATATCTAATTGGGGCAGAAAGTTAGGAAGTGCTCAAAAAATGATGGGGCATGTTAAAAGGAAAGAGAAGCCAACTTGCAGAGACTACCACTGGCTAAATTTAGGATGGTCTGACCACCAAAATAAATAATAATAGGCATCAACAAATCCATACTGATATTAAATAGATCAATACAATTTTAGGTAAATAAATAAATAAATAAATAAATAAATAAATAAAGCAAGCAAGCAAGCAAGGGAAGCTCTTGCTTAGAATATAATGCCAATCAATAAATGCACAAAAATATAAGAGTGAGAAAATCACCATTAATACTACCATAGTTATAACTGATTCTGGTGAAGATCAATAGACACTAAAATTGTTAGTTAAAAGTTCAATGGGGACAAATATTTATACAGTCTCAAACTATCTCCCCACAGATGAATTACTAATTTCAAAAGGAAAAATGTTAACATTGCACAGAAAACTGGCAGATACTACTTTAACCAGGTTACCACCAATTTTGGGACAAACTGGCATCACGTGCCTCCTGATGTAAAACACTAACAAGAACATACTAGAAGGGCTGGCATAACTCCAGTTGATCACATGGAAAAACGAGACAAACATTAACTGAAGAGCATTCGACTCTTCAGACACATTGAGGTCATGAAAGGCAAAGAAAGACAGACAGGGTCCTCGTCTCCCACTTCTCCCTGGGCTTAGGCTCTGGCCATGATCGATCAGCTGCTTCTGTTTCAGGAAGAGCCTCTAATTGCCCAAGCTGCTGTTGAAAAGATGGGATAAACACTTGGCAAGGAGAAATATTTGCTGTCCATACAACTTTTTCCTATTTAATGTTTGAAGGAGGGGAGTGACTGACATCTATAGTAGCCAGCCTTTGGTCATAGACCCTCAGGGTGTGAAAGACAACCAGCCCTAGATAGGACTTGATGGGATCACTGAACAGGACACATTCAGAGTCATGAGCCATGGACCAGGTAAGGAATTTATCCAACTTTCAAAGAACCTGGAGTCAGTTTGGTTCAAATCTCAGCTCTGACAATCATCAGCTCTGTGGTATTGCACAGCCTACTCAAACTCCCTGAGCCTGTATCTTCTCATCTGTAAAATGAGAGTAATAGGGATGGGCAGATTCAATGAGATAATTCATATCAAGTATTTAACATAGTGTCTGGTACATAGTATGAGCTCAATAAATATTACTATTGATTAGTGTATTACAAAAGACAATTACTATTCATCTTTCTATTCCAATCACCTAACACAGGCCTGGAAGGCATATGATGTGCATTTAATAAATGTGTCTTCATGCATTAACAAAGATAAAAACTCAGGAAACAAGACACTGATATTTATATGTGAATTGCTGCTAAAAACCAAGCTCAGCTCCAGGGAAACATTATCTGCAAATACAGAATCAGGGTTCTATATGCAGTTTCATGTGAAAGATAATTATTTTGTTAACTTAAAGGGTGGTTGAGCTTAGAAGATTGAGGCCATCACTCTATACACACAGTGAGGATGCTTGCGGACCCCAGCTTAGAAAAGAAGACATACTCAATTCACACTTCCATGTGAAGATCAAGCAAACCATGTTTTACTGCTAAGGTGATAATGAGAAAATAAATGAAGGAAACGTAAGTTTAAACAAACACATAATCATAGATGATAAAAGGTGTGTAAACATTGGTCCTTGGTTACAGATCTGTAATCGTTCTTCCCTTTTCATTTAGTCCTGCCTTCTACGGTTGAGCTCTGATTTAGACAAAGAGTGGGGAAGACTGAGAAAACAAACTGGTACTTAGAAAAAGATGCAAAGTGGATGAAGGGTGGTGTTGGCCTCTCACTGGAGTGTTGAGAGTGAATGGAACTTGGTAAGAGAAATCTGTAAAGGTTTTTAAGACGAGGCCAGGAAAGTTGGCAAGAGAGAAGTTTCCATTTCTCCTGCTTCCCCAGGTGGGATCTCCGCCCTCAGGCAGATGTCTTGCAGTCTCCCTCCTGTTTCTTTTGCTCATTTTCAGTCTGCCAGTTATGCAGGGTACCTCCTTACCTTCCACCTTGGCTCTGCCCTTTTTAGCCAGTTTGACTTCCTCAGTGGCTATTGTACAATCCGCTGTGTGAGCCCTTAGTCCTGGATCTTCCTCTACCCTTATCTTCCATCTGTCCTAGTAACTGCACCTGGTGTTCACGGTATAGCTAGAACATGATGCTGAACAGTGCTAGGTTGGGTTCATTTTATTCTCATTTAGTTTTTCTTAACCAGAAGACTGTAAGCTCTATGAAGACCAGTACCATGTCTTGATGACTATTGCACATTAAGCACCTAGAACAGTGCCTGAAACAAAGCAGGCTTCATAGCTTTCATTTGGCCTTTGGTGAACCTGCCCCTTATTCCGTTCAGCAATATTTTTCTCTGTCTCTTGTGGATTCTCTGTGATCCTCTGTGATCCTCTATTCTCTCCCTCCTTCTCTCTGCTCCCTTCTTTCCTTCCCACGTCCCTGTCTTCTTTCCTCCTTTCTCTTTAACATTCCCTGAGAAGGAAAGTTCATACCATCCACTTCATATAAACCTGACATATCTCTTCTTTCCCCCTTATGCTCTATTTATGTCACATACCAATTCTAGTCAGTTCCCCGGCCTCCTTTGAAATGTCTTAGAGTCTCATCATGTTGGTGAGATTCACTTGAGTTCACTGTTCACAGCCCTCACCACTGGAATTACTTCTTATATTTTTTCCTGCCTATGGTCTCTGCTGCCACCAGAATAAGTTCCTTTATAAAAGTCTTTCATGATTCCAGTTTCCTATCCAAGAATGTATAGATGTTTGGCAATTTAATTCAATATATTTAAACTCTATTTGTACACTTCCACATGGCCCTCCACTCCAATTCTCCCTAACAGAACTGCTTATGGAAAAAAGAAAATAAAATAATGCATATTGGAGGAAGCAAGATTAATTTAAGGGGTGTTGTTGCTTTGTTCTTTTAAGACTGGAAGCATGTGCATGTTGAAGGTTGCATGTAAAATCAATTCAGTGCAGTGTTAAAGCAAAATGATGAAAAAATAAAAATGGTCATTAATGAAGAGAGACAGTTAATGACCTCTCTCTAAAGGTGTAACTCTAAAACAGTGTAAAAGAAGGGGAGAAGTTGGTCTTTGAGACTACAAAATCCCTAATGAAGTTGGAAGCAAATTCAGCTGCCAGTAAGGAGCTGAGATGGGATGGATAGCTTTCGAAGGGCTTAGGCAGTGAGGAATATCTTCTCATTCACTCATTCCACAGATGTATTGACCACCTACTGATATGTGAATAACATTCCATAGTATTGTATTTTCCACTTTTCTCACACAACTTCAGCATTTGATTATACGGCTCAACCACAGAAACGTAACATAGATGGATATATCCCCATTCAGCTGGGATCTTATTTGGCTCATTGTTCCAGCCTGTTACAACCATCTTGAGTCCCAACTCGGTCATTCCATGCTAGCCCTTCCAACTTTGTGTCACTTTTTGAGAATCTGATTTGTACACATTCCACACTTTTTTATTACAAACATTTATAAAAATGTGGACATTCAGGATGCCATGTGAAATCTCTCTCCCTGTCGATGTGGACTTTTTAACAAGCCCCCTTTTGGGGATGTTCTCTTGGTGGGGTGTCTCTCCACCTTTGCAATAGGAGATCATGAAAGTTCTCATCAAATACTTTGCTGAAGTTCAAATGCACCATGCTCACTTCATCTCCCTCATCAAGCTGGCAAGTAAATGAATAATGCTGGCAACAATTAATTTGACAAAACTTGTTTTTAGCAAACCTGTGCCAAGTGGTCGTGATTTCTCTTTCCAAATGCTTATAAACAATTTCCTTAACTGGCAATTATAGATTCTTGCCTGATATTGACAGCAAGTTCACGGCTGCACATTCTGGAATTTTTTCCCCTCTTTCCATAACTCAGAATTACATACATCTGTTTCTAAGCTTCTGGCATTGTTTTTCCTTAGTTCTGCAGAGGTCATTACCCTCAGTCTAGAGATACAATTTGCAAATGTTCTCAGTATTCTTTTTTTTTTTTTTTTAAATCCTATCCTTCCTGTAAGAGCTGTGTGCAACACTGGTGAGACTTTAGGATGTGTTATGACCCAGACAGGGAAAGAGTGGGAGAAGCCTCTGCAACTACCACTGATGACATTTGATGACAAAGGTCATCGACTCTTTGGATAGGCTCGTATGTTGTGGCCATGAGTGTGGTTTGGACTAGTGATTACTTAATGTCCCTCTCAACTAGAGATTTCTGAAATATCAGCCACTAAATAATTGTTCCTCTCTCCCCATCCACAGTGCTCATCTCTGCCACCAGTGCCTTCAGAGCAGCAGCGTCTAAAAATCACCTAGTGACTAAGGTTGGACTTACCCACTTGCCCAAGCCTGGGTAGTCGTGTTCTGGGTCATAAAGGTGCTGGTGCAACTGGAACTCTCGACTGAACTCTGCCGTGTCAGGGGTGTTTTCTAGACATCCATCATCGACTGCAAACAGCAAAAGGGTTTTGAGAAACGGCCAAGGCATTTATCATTATTCTGAGTTAATGTACTAAAAACAAGTAGACACCCAAAGGTCAGATTGTATTCACATCAGTCACTCTAAGTCACTTTCCCTGTGGGATTTACTCATCCCGAACTCTCACTCATCCCCCTTCTTGTGACAGACTGGTTGGCTGTCCACCGAACCCACTGCTCCTTCCTCCTCCGCACACAGCCAATTTGCCAGCCATGCTTTGCAAGCAGATGGCGTTGTGTGCCTGAGTTTGGGCCAATGGGACGTGGGCAGAAGCGATGTATTCCACTTCCAGGTCCTGCTCATCAAAACCTCCTATACGAGCCCCACTGCCTGTCCCATGCCTGCCTGTTGCTCAGGTTGCTACCTGTGGCCGAGTAGGGCACCTTGGATGTCAGGTATAAAGACAAAAGATGGCAGTCTGGGTTGCTGAAATTTCCACCCCCACCATACCTCACCCACCTCAGGCAGGACTTCACAGGAGTAGGAGATAAACTCCTATTGTGTTAAGCCACTATAATTTTTTATCTGTTATAACAGCCAGCATTTCCTTAACTAATATACTTCCATTCCCCATGACTCACTCTGTTTTTCCTTGGGTGAGTCGTTAGCAACAATTTCAGCTCTTGGACAATGCACCTTATACAAGAACAACAGCCATCGCTAGACAATGCTTGAGGTTGGGTGTTACTGTGGTGATGGGATAAACTTTGAAGTCAGACAGACCAGAGCCCAGGGTTCCAATTCTAGCTCATAAGGGATAGATGAGTTCAGTTCCTTGGAAAAGTTAACTTAGTCTCTCTACGTTGATTTATTGTTCTGTGAGATGGGAATGATCAAGTACTTACCTTATAGGGCTGCTGTGAGAAATAGAGATGATCATATTCAGAGCTTCCAGCACATAGAAGCCTTGCTCTTTGTTTTACTTCCTTTCTCACCATTGCTCTTTCAATGAGTTACACTGTGACTGTTCTTGGGACTAAAGCACGTCTTCCCTTCAAACCCAAAAAAGGTCATCCTTCTTCACTGTTCCTGTTACCTGTACTTTATCATTACTAGACACCATGCTCTGAAAAGGAATCATTTCTTTCTGTCTCTAATGTGCTATAGACAGCCATTTAAATAAGGGGAGAGGGGAGGGATTGTGAATTTTGTGTAGGGTTAGGGGAGAAAAAGAGTCTCTTTTCACAGGGACAATGAGCCACTGATGTCAATGCTAAGAGGGGTCTAACACAACCAGTCAGGTAGTCTAATCGCCTGGGACTGCACTGAAGCCTTCCAGCACCTTCAGTCATCCAGCCTCTCAGTTCTTAGCAACACGCAGCTTGTGTGGAAGTCAAGCATTCTGAACAAACCCTTAATGTGGCACTACGGTGGCTCCCCACTTTTCCTTGAGCTGTTTATCTCATTTCTTCATCTATAGCAATGAACCTACAGGACAGGGAGAGTGAATCAAAAGAATTCTGGTAGTCGGCAAAAGGCAGCTTTACAAACTTTTCATACTTTTTCTCAAGTATCTCTGAGGGCCCAGGCTGACAGGTAAAGATAAAGGCGTGCTCCGGGAATCGAAGGTGTCTTGGACCTGACGCTGTGCCCTGGAATTCCCAACCCTGAGAATGGGCTCTCTGAGTTCTGCTGCTCCACCTTGGTGAGGGGTCATGATTCCCAGGAGAGTGAGGCCTGGGAAGGGGAAGGCAAGGTTTTATCCTGGATTTCTCAACTGTGTGGTGGCATGATTCTCAGTGAGGTGTATCTCAAGCAATTTCTTAGAAATAATAACCACATTGACAAGTGATTTCCTTTTTAGAATGCAAATTATGGTAGAACAAAGACTGAGAAATAAGTTAGCTTAATGGAATGATAACAAAGGAAATGGCAGATGAATTGGGTGTTTATCCAATGCCTTCAGCTCACCTTGATTGCTGTGTCTTAGAGCTCCTAAGTACTTCATTACATAGATCTGTATTCTTCTATTAGGATACCTGCATTGCATGTTTTTTAAAGGCATTGAGTATGTGTCCATTTTAACAGATGAAGAGGCTGAGGTTCTGGGAAGTAAAGTGACTCCTGTGGTGAAGACTAGAACTCAGATCTCTTGGCTCCAACTCTGCTTCTCTTTCCACTCTCCTATAACAGCAGTTCTTAAACTCTAGTACACACCGTAACCATGTGGAAGGCAGGTTAAAATACAGGCTGCTGGGTCCTACCCTCAGAGTTTCTGATTCAATACATCTGGTGTAAGGCCCAAAAGTTTTCATTCCCAACAAATTTCCAGGTAATGCTGATGCTGCTGGTCCCAGAACCACACCTTAGGGACCCCTGCGCTGTATCTAATCCACTTAAACAAATTCCCATGGGAACTGTTGGTCTTTAAACTCTAAACTGGTCTTTCCTCCTACCCTCCAAGGTCCTACAAGCAAGCAAAAGGTAGCAAAAGTGATAGGCGCTGGGCAGTAGCCCAAGTTTTCCTGCAGTCCTGGGCCAGCATCCCTACACTGGCTGGTCACATCCACTTACTCTGATCGTTCCATCCCAGGATGGAGGCTCTGTGCCCCACGAAGAGCAGAGACCTCACCCTAAATGAAAGGAGGACTATCTGTCAGAGACAGTGCCTTCCAGATACAACTTGTATTGTGTTTTAGGAAAGCTGAGGGGCCAATGCTGTCACAATTTTCAGAGCAAGGCAATTTGTCACTGTGGTTGAGTCCACGGTACTCAGTCAGGTAGACCTTGACTCAGCAACTTGCTATGCAGGTAACCTTGGGCATGTTACTCTCTAAGCTTCAGTTTCCATATATAGAATAAGGGTAATGAGCACCAACTATTATTATTAGGCTTGGGGAAAGAGACTACTTTGGTACTGAAGTTAACATAAGCCCAAAAAGAGAGATGCATTACTTACTAGGAAAATAGCTAATTATAATCTGGACGCCATGCGTACTTAACTCTGTGCTAGGTGCTATGCCAAGTGCTAACACAGACACTTGCGTTTAATTCCCACAACAACCCCCATATTGCTAATGAGGAAACTAAAGTGCAACATGGTTAATTAGCTTGTTCAAAGTCACATGTTTTGACCTTGAATATGAATTCAGGTAGTCCAAGCCTAGGGCCACTATCCTTGACCACCAGGGCAAGATGCTCAAAGGCCAACATAAGTGTAGCTACTTGCCATTCATTCTCTTTGCATTAGGAGGTAGGAAAGTGGGAAAAAAACACACACATAGCAAGGAAAGTTTTACCCTTCTTCCCTAGCCAGCTTATATTACTGGACCCCTGTCTCTCATGCAACCTCCTGGCCCCTGAAGAAACATTTCAGGATCAATGTTAATTAGTCAACAGAGAGTTGAAATGTTGATTGTCAGGAGAAGTAAGTAAAACAAGTGGGTATGGATAATCCACAAACTAAATAACCATTTCCAAAGACACTAAACAGGCAGCAGTTCTATCATAGAAGAGGGGGAAAAGCATTCTTCCTGCAGAAAAGAGAATCAGCTTCCACTTACAAAGAAGGAAAGAGACAGAGGTAAAGTCTCGGCAAAGGAGTCCTATTGTGGGTGAATCCGAATACCAGAACTCACCAAGGAATTTTTTTAAAAGGTTTTATTTATCTATTTTTAGAGAGAGGGGTAGGGAGGGAGAGAGAGAGAGAGAGAAAAACATCAATGTGTGGTTGCCTCTTGCATGCTTCCTCCTGGGGACCTGGCCCGCAACCCAAACATGTGCCCTGACTGGGAATCAAACTGGAGACCCTTTGGTTCACAGGTCAGCACTCAATCCACTGAGCCACACCAGCCAGGGCAGGAATTTATTGTAGAATAAACTTCTCTTTCCAATTCACTTACAAACACAGGATGGCTCATTGGACTAGAAATACTATTTCTCATAATAGTTGTAGCTGATGTTAAAATTGTTAGTTTCCTCCCCAAACCCCTGCCATACATGGGAACCAAAGGGCACATCTATTACCTGTTTTTCCAACAGGACAAGGATTTGGAGGGTCTGGGTAGCCCTGGTCCTCACTGAAGTCCTTGGGAATGTTGTCACCAGTCAACTCTGCCACAATGTTTGGGATGTTGCCAAAAGGACCCAAGTGCTGCAGACCTTCATGAGCTCCACCTGCCGGGCAACCAGAAGTAGTTCATCTCAGTGCAATGAAATTCACTTCAATGAATATTTATTCAGGCATGCTGTCCATGCTGGGGACAGGAACAGAATCAAACAAGTCCTGCCTCTACTACAATTTTTAAATTTTAAAAATTTAGTTGTGGAAACAGACACATACTATACATATATTGTTGCCACACATAGTGCATTATATACGTGATATGATATAAATATCAACACAGCATTATGGGAGCATAGAAAAGGGGAAGTTTCATTTGACTGATATGATGGGAAGGCTCCTTGGACCAGCTGGAACTTGAGTGGCACTGACTCCGATGGGTGGGGCTTGGGAAGCTGGGCATGGAGCTTGTGGGCTGGGCGAGGGGGGGTGAGGGGGAGAGAGAGGTGAGAACAGGCTGAATGACAACACATAGCCAAAAAAGAGGTAGGTAAGGAAAAAAGTCACTATTCTCCTGCCATTCTAGATCAACCACTTCAAATTTAGTATATTTACTTTAATCTTTTCTCTTCTGCATATCTCTTGTTGGTTCACTTTTCACTTAATATTAAAACACAGGCATCTTCTCATGTGGCTGTATGGTCTCTATGCCCATAATTATAAATGGCTCGTCGTTTCCTAGCCAGTGGCTGTACCATGGCATATTAATCATTCCCCTATGTGGGACATTTACTGTTTCCCAATTTACTGCTAGGCATTTAATTTTTTCCATAGTTTAGATTAATTTTCCTCAGGATAGTTTCCCACAAGTTAAATTACTAGGTCAAAGGCTATAAATATTTTTATGGCTCTTTATATTATATTGCCAGACTGTTCTCCCAAAAAGGAGGTACCAATTTATAACGAATCGACAACAAAATATGAGAAAATCGCTTTTACAACATCTTTACTAGCACTGGGTTTTATAAAAATAATTCTTATGTTTTCCTTGCTAATTTAAAGGCCCTTAGAAAAATTACTGTTTTATTTTGAATGTCTTTACCAGGTAAGTCAAATAGTTTTCCATGTGCTTATTTACTAGTTTTAATTTTTCTTGTGAGTTGTCTGTTCATGCTCTTGGAATTTTAATATTTCTATTATAAATTTGTATGAACATTTTATATAATAAAGATATCAGGCCATTGGATGTCACATTTCTTGCAAATGCTTTCCCATGTTGTCTGATTTTGAACTCTGGATATTATAATAATATTTTGTTAACATACGTTTTTAATATTTATGTAGTCAGATCTGTTGTTGTTATCCTCCTTCATGATTCCTTTTCATCCTTAGAAGTTTAGAAACCTACAAAATTGTTGTCCCTTCAGAAGTACTACCAACATTTGGATATTTCTTTTAGTTTATTTATTTTAAAAATTAATTCTTTGTTCCGTACGTTTTGTGTTTTAGTGCATGTAAAATAGTTAACCAATTATTCTACCAGGATTTGTTAAGTAATTCTGCCCTTCCCCATTTATTTCGTTCCTTCAACAAATATTCAAGTGCTCCACACATAGCAAAGCCTGCTCTGAGCACCAAGGCACAGCAGTAAGAACAATGGACACTGTGTAACTCACTTTACTTATTCATACAAATGCATATCAATTTCTGGATTCTTTCTTTTCCTGTAGCTTAATATCCTTTAAGGTCCAGGAACCTTACTTTTCCAGCACAAGAGCAGTTCATTTCTTGGAATGAATTCCTATTTATTAACTTCATTGGGACACGGAGGCCCCACACTCCCTGCTCCCTTAATGCACAATCATCCTGCACACAGACCCGGACAAAAGGACCCATCAAAATCCAACGGTGTGCATGAAATTAGAACCCAGGTCAGGTTAAATAACTCCACACTTCCATCTCCACCAGAAGGCTGGTCTTGGGAATTGTCTCGTTGTTTCATTCCAGTGGCTGGAGGAGGCTCCCTTCTCCGGGATGAGCAGGAGCACCGCCAGCTGTGCTTTCTGAAAGTTGCTTTTTTTCCTTTTTCTTTTTTGGCTGAACCAGCTTCACTTTGGATTGACACATATTTTTCTTCATAAATGTTAATGTATTTATTAGTAACATGGCAAGATCTTAGTGTCCTGAAAGTTACACTGTATCTCTGAAGTGACTTCGTGTCATTCTGTCTTAATTTATTATGTTTGATTAAAGTGTATCCTTAAAAGGGCAATCTTACTTCCTTTAATTCCAAATTCCTCTAGCCCCCAAATATATACAGCACTAAGTGGCTGGGTTGTTCTGTTTACATTTACATTATATTATCTCTCATTGCTTTGTGATGAGAAAGTAGCCAGCAAATTTTCTGCATTTAAAAAAGATGTTATTTTTGTAAATTTTCCATGTGGACATTTAAAATATGATGTATTTTACAGAGTCCATAAATGTCTAAATATAGTCAATTAGTCAGCATGCTTAATTATATTCTTTTATGTTCTTATTCACTCTTTATCTGTTTAAATTATCATAATCTGATGGCTATCTGTTAAAATCTATCAATATCGACCAAGAATTATCAATATCTACCAGGCACTGGTAGATAAGTGGAAACATCTAACAATCTGCACTTATCTACCAGTGCCTGTCAAACTCTATTTCTTACGGCTTTCACTTTAGCATTTTGATGCTCTGCTAGTTAACGTGGCCCAGAGTATAAATGTTTCCTTTTAACTGTAACTAGTTGGCAGTTAAGTAAAAATTGACTAATCATATTTTGTTTCATATTCCTCCTAATTAGCATAGCACTGTCTATCTGCTGTTTTGTGTTTGGTAAATCTTCGATCATCCTTTTCATCTTTCTGTATCTTTCTGGTGATTTGCCTGATTCACGTTGTGGCGGCTGCCTTCAGAGATCCTCTGGTGATTCATATTTATTATGCCACACTAACCCAAGACCTGGGAAGGGTTGGACAGATCAGCACACCTGGTATTGATCCATTTGAAGCTTTGAACAGTCTTGGCAAGATGGCCAGCACGGTGCTTGCCATAGGGCATGCTCTCTGGTGCGTCAATGCGTGTCTCAACTTTTGAAAACACCCCAGCCTTAAATGCCGGGAATTATCCAACTTGGCTCAAAGGAGAATACATGTCTTAATGCTCCATTAGTAATTAATGAAGGAAGCAAACACAGTTTCCTTTATGGAAGGCCTGCCAAGGCTCTGTTTACTTCTGTGCACCAGTGCCATTAAAATGAATGCAGCACTTGTTAGGAAGCAACAGATGTTTAGCACCAGGCAGATATGTTATAACACAGGCTCTTTAAAAACTACATTTTATGACATCGAATCAAGAAATACTCACTGAGGTAGGAACTGTGGGAGATGTGGAAGTGACAAATGCTATCTTTTGCTCCCCAGGACCTTGAATGTTATAGACAAGAAAAGTAACCACATAGAGAAAAGAATTTGATAATTATAATTAATTGATAAGTGCACTATCAATTATATATCAGAAAATTACATAGTTGAATACACAACCAAATGCTAGTTACCGGATTCACTATATTGTTTGGATTTGCTAACCTACTACACCCAAAACCAAGTCAACCAACATGTTATGATGCTATGGATGTTATTTGATCTATTTGTCCCAGTCTCAACCAAACATATATTTTTAAATTATTAATTTTTGTGTAAGTCTAAACAACATGTATTGAGAATATATCAAGACCTGGACTATGTGTTAGAGGGTCAATGATGAACGAGATGAATGTGGATCTTGCTCTCATAGTGTTTGGTCTACAGGGCATACAAAGGAACGAACACTTAAAATGCAAAGTTGTGATGCACTTATAATGCAACTGGGATCCAGCAAGATGTCATGGATATGTGGACGAGAAATGTCTAACCCAGATCTAAGACATGGAGGACTTCCTGCAAGAAGAAATAGGACTATGATTATGTTAGGTGCCATAGAAGCCATAAATGTGAAAGACATGATTCCTGCTCTCCAGTTGGTTCCTCATTCTCATTGGTTATTTCAGGCTAACAAACTAAGAAAATGGTATGTGATAAGGCATATTTTCCAGTATAATTCATTATGGTATAAGTTATATATGATGTCGAAATTCAGGAAAAAAAGAACCTGCCAGGGAGATTTCCATGGAAGAGGTGACACTTGAATAGAATCATCAAAGATAGAATCCATGCTTACAGGTGGCAAAGGAAAATCCACAACTGAAGGCACAGAGGTGGGTGTGAACATGGAATGTCTGAGCATCAGTGATGAGCACTGCTGGGGGAGGAGTTGGACAGGAGGGGAGAAGGCCAATCCAAGCAGAAAAGTATAGATTTATGCTCATCTAGTGATAAACAGCAACCAAAGTTCTCTGGGCAGGTGAGCAATGTAATAATTGGATGTTGTGTGGAACATTAATATAGCAAACGTTTATAGCTTTGTTTCTGTCCAGGGGTACACACCAGAATCACTTGTGGAGTTCTTGTTTGTTTGTTTTTTAATCTCAATGCTCCTGCTCTGAAACCAATATAGCCAAGTGTCCTTTTTAAGACTGCTACACAAAGATAGGTTAGAGGAAAGCTTGCTGGGAAGCTATTGCTGAAACTCAGGGGTGAAGAGACAAGGATTGGGGTTAGAGTGGCCACAACACGAGGAGAAATATTAGAGATTTCAAACAGTGCACAAGGGAGAAATGAGTCATGCATCCCTAAGGTTTGAGTTTCCCTCTTTTGGGAAAATAATGCCATTGGTAAAGATAGGACCTTTCACTACAGCTTTAAAAGTATTCCAGGCAATTAATTAATTCTACCCTGTAATGATGTTTTATTTATCTGTTTCCATCACAGCCATGCACTCCACAAATGTGTCTAGAATAAACAGAAAATATTTAATTCTTGCCAAACAAATTTTAGGCCTAGTTTTGTTTATATAAATTTGCTTTATATAATAAAATTGGTACCAGGCAGCTGTTTATTCCTAAGCTCCAGATATCACATTATTGGTGGGTCTTCTTCGCATTGTTTTGGCAATAAAGTGCCAGTCAGCTGTCATGTTCAGA